TTCTACTTACTTGTGCTATACTTATAGTGTTCTTTTCTCAATAAATTCTATATAAAAATGATTCAAAAAGTATTAATTTTTAATTACACATGCTCTTAAAGTGAACTTCTAAATATTAAAATTTAAGAATATTGAATATAAATATATCTATATATATATATATATATATATATATATATATATATATATATATTTGATAAAAACCTCTAAATAGTAGGCAAGTTCACTCTGTTTCAATGAAAAATGGTGGATATATGACAAACTTTCTAATAGATGACTTAATGGATGTCCAAAATTATTGCTTTGTTATATGCTACAACACATTGTCATTCTTCTACAACTCTAGTAAGGCAACAATGTCCTTCAAAAACTAATTACTTGCAAAGAATCTTTTTGAATAGTATTCCAAGGTAATTATCAAAGAATTATTTGTAAAGAACTAATTACTTGCAAAGAATCTTATTGAATAGTATTCTAAGGTAATAGTATTCTAAGGTAATATTATTCTAAGATATATTACAAGTTGAAACTTATCTAGCACATAATCAAAGTTTGACAAAGAGTTGTTCTTCCATTGTTGTTATACATTTATATTTGTAATATGTGATGAATGATGTTTTTATAATATCATATCAAAGTTGTAAAAAAATAAAAGCTATAGATGAATAGTAATTGTAGATGAAAGTATATAAATGAATAATTATCTTGGATAAATTATTGCTGCAAAGTTTTGTCATTCTATTGCTGTTAGAACTTTGCATTCTTACTAAATATTGGTGTTTTCGATTTTGTTTGCTACTAGTCTTGAAGATTTTTTTTTTTTTTTTTTTTCTTTGCTTCATCATAGCTTTTATCACCATCCTTTGTTATTTTATTTTATACAATATTTTTTGATTTTTTTCTATTCCTATTATAAGATTTTTTATTTTTAAAAAAACTTATTATTTATTGCTATTTCTTTTGTTATCTTAGTAATAACATCATTTTCAATCAACCATTATATTAATTGGTTTAATAAAAAAATATGATATATTAGTATTTGTCATGAATTACTTAATGTATATATATAAATTCTATATGCATATAAATAGAATATTATAATATTCTATAAATACAAATAAAAAATTGAAATAGAAGTCAAGCAAGACAAAATCACAAGCATTGATTGCCCTTAATATCAAGCCTTTGCAATTGATACACATATACAAATTTAAATTAAAAAAAGAGATATTAGATATTTTAGATATGATGCATAAGTCGTTGGAGATCATTACTAAGATCTTATTGATGAAGAAATTCTATAATATTTGGTATGGTAATAGAGAACCTATAGAGAGTTTTCTATGCAAAATCTTTGATTTTAGAAATCAATAAATTGACTTGGGTGGTGAAATGGATAAATAAAGTATGACTTTTTTTTTATACTTATTACATTGCTAAGTCATGCAAATTGTTTATTCAATTAATTGCATCAAATAAATGAGAAGAAATTATGGAAGAAGTGGTGAAATTTATATTCTTTAAAAAAGAGATGCAAAAAAAAAAAAAAAAAAAAAAAAAAAAACATGTTTTTTAATTTTTCACCTTAGCAATGCAGGCAAGAGATACAAAATCCTTAAAAAGTACCATCCACAATAAAAGCAGAAGCCTAAGATTGATAAGTATAGAAGCAATTGTAGGACTTGTGAATAGAAGAAAAATTTGCAAGGTGATGTAGAATGTCCCAGAACATATGGCAGTGGTACAATAAGTATTGATATTGTTATTATTTTTTCAATTTAAGAGGCGTCATGTAAATTATAAACAATGATTACATCATTGTCTCAACCACACTTTTATATTTGTATTGACAATGCAATAAATGTATACATCCAAAAAAGTAGGAATAAGCTTTTTAACTTCAATGAAAATACAACCATCCAACTCCAAGACTATAATAGTAAAATCAATAAATTACAAGATTCAAGTAAAATATACATCATAGTTTTGAATTCTAAGCTAAAACACATTCTTGTGGTTGTAGAAGACGTACTTTAGATTCTTAGAGCATATGATACACTCTTATCAATCACAACCTTGTTCAAAAAAGGTTGTAGGTTTAGCTTAGATGATAATAAAATTGATTAGATTTTTCCTTTAGGTAGCTTATTCATCCAAAACACTTTCAATGATAAAGCTTATCTTATACCTTGTGAAATTGAAGATATTAGTATAATTACCAATTCATCTATCTTAAGTCATATAATGAATAAATGGCATCAAGTATTCATAAATGCCTAAATGCATATAATACAAGAGACAGAGCAAATGTATAATATTGAAAGATTGAAGATTAAATGTCATAAGAATAAGGTATCGACATATAAATTGTAGATTGTTGATAAGACCCATAGGTAGACTTTTCTATACAAGTACAAGCATGTTAATAGTATTTTATATGTCCAAGCTTACTACACCTAATTGATACTTACAACTCAAATTTAGAGATAAAATCTATTAGAAAGTCTCTCCTTCAAGCACTCAATACACAAACACTACAATCCAATGCCTTCTTACAATTACAAATTATTTTTATATAGAGAAATAGCAATGTAGGTCTGACAAAGCCAAATAAAGGCTATGGCAAGAGCTACACTATACATAAATATATTAATTACATTACACAAAGCAATAATAAACAATGGATCTAAAAAAATGCCATTGTACATTGCAAGAAGAAAAAGATGGCTTACAAAAGTGTAAAGACATGATAGGATGCGAGGGGCAATCTTAACAAACTTTGTTGTTACTGCAACAACTAACTTTCATCTCTTGCTAAGCTTAGTGCAAGCTGAGCTTCCTAGCCACAAAATGATTTGAGTACATGTGCCTCTAGTATTGCATCAACCTTCAACGCTACAAGAATATCATGCCACACCAATCTTCCAATGCCATGTTGAAGCAACAAAAGCAGTAATTCAAACTAGGACAGCATTATAGCAACAAAAATAATAATGTAGAGGTGTACAAATCTTTATACAATAATCAACTAAAATTAAAAAAGACAAAGTTTTTTGTCACCTACTCCATTTCAATTTGCAACACCACAAAATTTAAAGAAGATAGGATTCTTATCAAGTAAAAGATAAGGTATCTAAAGGCTACTTAGTCAAGTTGTTTCTTATGCCAAAAATAGAAAATCTAATAATGCAAGTATGTAGAGAAAATCCTAAACTTTACTCAATGGCTAAACCACCATACTTAAGCAAAATCCTACAACAAGGAGCTTTCTCTCTTAAAAATACTCATATGACTTGACTTCATAAGAATGTCAAGTCAAGGGAGCTTTTTCACCTAGAATCCTTAAATTCTAGTTGATACTAATAAAGCCAATTAACATAAAATACTAAATAGATAATAATCTTCTAAACCAAAATAGAATACATTCATTTGGCATATTTATTTATTTTTTAAAATATTGTTGATACATTAAATGTTTTTATAATTTAAAATATTTAATAAATCATATTCAAATAAAAATATTTATTCAAGAATTATAATGTAATTATTAAAATTTTATATACTATTTAATATTTAATATAAATTTATAATAAAGTTTATTATAAATCATACAAATAAATTTTTATTTTTTATTGATAATTTATACCATTTGTATACTTAAAATAAAACAAATAATATTATAAATAAAATTAGATTACAATAAGTACTTATATGTTTAACTCTTGCAATCTTAGACTTTTTTAACAAAAGATCACACTATAATATTTGCTTTAGATTGGATAATTTGCCTATTTTGTTTGTATTAATATGATAAATCCATTAAAAATTATCTAATTTTTTAAGATAAAGATAAAATACTATCTAATATATTAATTTTAAATAACTATGGAAGAAATGAGGTGGCCACAATGTACATTCAAGGAGCTTTATTACACATATGAAAGCCATGCACTACTAACCAACTAAGGATATGTTTTTTTATATGCTTCTAAAGTTTTAGTGCAATTCTTTAGAGAAACCATTATTCTTTAGATAATTGTCACTTTTTATTTTAATTTTTTTTGCTTTGATTAGAATGTGTTTATAATAAAATAAAATAAATAAATACTTTTTATTTTTTAAAATAATTATTAGTTGTATATACCTTGATTAAATTTTTATAATATAAGAAATAAAAAATTAATGAAATCATATATATTAAAACTTGGTCTAGATTAGATGTTATAAATAAAAATTATGTAATAATTGAAGACTTTATTAAAATCTAAGAGATTTTTTTAAAGCAACAATTGCAAGATATATAAGTTTCTTTTGCATTATTGTTAGACTTGAAAGAAAAAAAAAACAAAAAAAAAAAAAAAAAAAAAAAACTTCTTTATTATTTGTACATAAGAATAGAAAATATATATATATATATATATATATATATATATTCACTATTAATTATATTAGTAATTACTTTGATTAAAAGAGTATTTTCTTTTAAAATAGTAATATGTTTGCAATTGCAACTTGATGGTTTGTTTTATTTCTGATCAAATGAATGTTACTTGTATATTTTATTAGCTATTTTAGGTACAATCTCACTTAACATCAAATTGTGATTTTATCAATTTATGCAATCACATCAAGTAATGTCCAACACCTTTAATGTGAAAAATATCATTATTCAATATGGATTTCAATAAAATAATACATTGCAATTGTAATAAAGCAAAATTGATTAGTTATTAATTTTAAATATTTCCAAATTGAAACCCATCTTGATTGATAAACAGAAGTAACTCCATCTTAATCACAATGAAAAAGATACGTCCAAATGTTTAGGAACAATGAAAACAATGAAATCATGAAAAAAAATATGATGCACACATTTACTAGGTTAATCTTCTAAAATGAAAAATTGAAGTTGAAGACAAATCATTTCCAGAATGATTTAGAACATGTAGACATCACATGGGTAATGTTGAGAGTCTTCTAAAGACTTGAAATAGGTGAAGTATGGTAAAATACAGAGATAGAAAATGTAGAGTAAGCCATTTGGTTGGATTGGTAATGGCAGTCAGGAATATAATGACAGAAGTGGAAATGTAAAATGTTCAATCACCCAATCCTGGTATTTCCTAAACTGTTCTAGACTGTGCAAATGGAGAAAGAGTTTCTTGTCAAATTATAGGATATCCTGATAACCATCTTTTACAACACTGCTAATATGAAGTAAAGAGCAGTCATCATATTACTTTTGCTGTCTCACAATCCTCAGGTTTACTTGTGGATTGGAGCTAATGCATGCTAATGGTTAGATTTCAAAAAGCCAACAGACGGTACACATTGAGCGTGGTATTCCGAAGAGAAACCGGATCAGACTCAGAACATGCGACTTGCTGATGGTGCAAAAAGTTCTAATGAATGCTCAATAAATTACACGTTGAAGTGACTTCCACCTGCGGAATTTGAGGCAGTAATTAGTCACTAGCCAGGATAAGACAGCTCAAACTTCAGACTTCAGAAACGCAACTACATGTGTCCTATCCTCGACGCGATGGTCAAATAGGCCAATCTTACAGCTATTGATAGCTACTATAATAGAATTGAAAATGTGTTCTAAATGTATACACATGAATACATGTTTTAGTCTTAAAACCAGAAAAACACATTGCTGGAAACGTCATGATAATCAACCTGGTCGAAGCGCAGGAACCTGGTGTAGTGCAATAAAACAGTAGCAAACTTTGAAGTTTCAGTTCAACTCATCCTGCAGTATGCAATATTGAAGAATCATTGTCGAGCCCATCACAAAAATATCGAAATCGGCTCTTCCAACAACCTACAATCCGCATACAAGTCTCGTGCCGAAAAACCTCGGGCCAGCCAATGTGATTGACACTCCAGTTTCTTACAAACATATCCAAACTCAATTCTTAAAAACCACAAGAATCACTTGCATTATTTCAAGATGGTCCCATTGCTCACCTCTTTTTGATAGGCATGAAGGGATTGATCAAAGAAAGACTTCCAGAATCACCATGTAGAAAATATACTCGTGCTGGCTCAAATGTCTCATCCTCATCGTCCTTAGTGTCCAGTTCCAAAGCGACAGATCGAAGCTGACAAGCTGGTTGTAACAATCGACAGCTCTCACCATCTCTAATTACAGCCACTCTTCCTCCATGTCGCATTTGCCAGATCTGAAGATCAGAGAAAAATAATACAAAATGACCAACTGATCAATATAACACTCCTTGTCATCAATACAACACTTCCTTGTCACATGATCAACATGCTAGTGCGGAGGAACTCATCGTAAATAGAGATATGATATAACAACTGAAATTCAATGGTGACATGATGTTACATCTGTCACAAACACAAGCAGTCTCAACAGCCACCAGCTTAACTACTTGGAGTAGAGCAACAACCTCAATTACACCTCGCCGTGGAGCATGGATGGCTAAGCATAACCGATATTGTTGCCGTCTCAGAGAAAGATGTTTCTTTTGTGGATCTGCATAGTCCGCACTTCCATCCACAGGCGCCTCCAGGAAGAGACAATGAGCATCACGATAGCCCTGCAAGGTTAATGATCATCTACTTTTAGTTCAATTTCACCCTCAAAAGTCAAAATGTGATGTGTACATATTAGCAAAACTACTTAATATGCCTCGTCACATGCCTTATCGTACAGGTGTTATTATAGGATAGTAACAGGATAGAACTGTGATTCTGAGGGAGCATTCTCGATGAACACAATAAGTGTAGACCCAAAGATCCGTTAGAATTGAGTGACTAACGATGTGCTGGTCACATATATAGATGAAGACAACAGAACTTCCTGTCGCATTTACCTTCCATAAGCGAACAACTACAACAGCATTCACATCGACGAGAAGCACACGACCCAGTGAGTCTGCAATGGCAGCTAAAGAGCCACCAGGCGCCACTGCAAGCCTCTCGCCTTTCCTCATGTTGTCCTTCAGGCTTGTAATAACAGAAGCTGCACACTCATATTTCAATCAGTATCCAGGAAAGCAATATCTTCAGATTCTGAAACATAGCATACTTGGTACACAACAAACAACAAAATCATGCAGAAGTTAAAGATGCCTTGGTTCAAGTAGAGGCTGAAAACCCTGAAACCAAAGGACTCACCTCTTGAAAAAGTTTGCGGACTAACTTCCAGTGGTCTATTCGATTCAGACGATTCGTCCTTCTGCCAAAATCGTTTAGCCAAATTCGAAATTTTCGTAACACTAGCTGGCATCACTTTGTCTATAATCGCACTCACCAAGCTACCCTGTTTCTCTCCTGATACCCTGGCAACAAACCCAAGCTCTTGATAAACTGAAATTACGTCCGGTCATGTTATGCACAGAATCACCAACAAGGAAGTATTCCAGAAGGTATTATCCTCCATACAAAAATTGAAAACAAAACAGGAGATTGTTCCTAATTGAGTCCAAAAATCCTTAAGAACATGAAATTGGAAATCGATTGATATCTCTTTGTTTTTTACCTGAAAGCTGCTAGTGTACAATCTGGCCCCACAGTTAGAGCACAGTAATGTCGTTTTCCCTGCCACAAACGTAAGCACTCTACATTAAAACTTTAAAATCTCTTTCGAAACTCAATAACCAAAACAAAGAAACATTTTTTTTTAAAAGATGACTTTCTAACCTGATGGTTAAACAAATTTTAGAAATGAGAGTTCAAACACTAGAGGGTAAATAACCTGCAGCTCCAACAACGGAGGGGGCATGATTCCAGCTAATGCTCCATCAGAACAAGCCAAAGCTCCAGCCGTCCTATTGATATTCCACATTAGGAACGGCAGCCGGTTAATAGGCGCCTCGCCGTCTTGTGTGTCTCCACCAACTTTCCATCCAAGCAGCCCTTCCCCCTCCATTCCTTCCCTTTCCCGCAGTTTCTTATGACCTAAAATCTGTACTTCCAGAACATCGAGACTAGGCTCAGAATAAATGAAATAGACATTACGTTCAAAGCAAGAGGGATCATTTCAATGAGAATGTATCATTGTAATTACTATGATTAATATTAATGAATCTCTTGTCCATCAACAAATCAATGGTAAGAACAATAACCAGCCATGAAGACCAAATGATGACAAAGATATTGCGAAAATCCACCACGTGCAACTTAAGCGTTTAGGAAGGCCAACCTTGAGATCAATAGCATCAATTCGAGCAATCGCCTTCGGGTATATGAGGCAAAGATCCTCGGAAGAATCATTCCCCAAACTCCCCAGTGGCTCACTTCTAACTCGAAGCTTGAGAACGGGATCAGAATGAAAATACTGCAATACACTGCGATTGTTAGACAGGATTGAGATCTTGTGATTGCGAGTCAAAATTCGCTTTCGGGTGATCTCTATCAAATAAAACTCAAAAACAAAGTTATGAACCAACCACGATCTCTAGTTCAAACTTGGGCGACTTCACACCTGCTTTATTAGGAGAGTGCCCTTTTGTGAGAAAAGCAGTAAAGCTCCGAAGGAAGTCCCCACAGCCAACAGACTCGCGCCATCAAACACCACCCATTCCATTGCAGTCATCTTCTCTTCGGGCTCTAGACAGCTCCCAACTTTGCGCACAAAGGGCTTAGTATCTTTCTCTGCCTGCTTTTTCATGCCAACACAAACTTCCCGGTGAGAAGTAGCTAAACCTTCATCTGTTAGGGCTTGGTAAAGACTCAAAACTCAAAAATGTTAGTGCATCCACATTGTTGTATGCTCAACTTCCTAATCGCAATCAATTACTCCCGTTGCATAATTTGAAAACGGAGCAAGCTCTACATACATGAGTAAGTCGATACACGTTGTAGTTACAACGATCTATTCATGCTAAATGCTGAAAGCTGAAACTAATAGAGTAGCTGTCACAGGCTTAACTCAACTTTAAAGCTTGTATCACCTGTCGGATTCTAAATTCAAAACAGGATTTGCCAAACAGGACGACCTAACGCTGAAGTTGAGCAATTAGCAAAAGGAATCCACTACTCACCTGCTGTTTCCATGTTAATTGCATAATTATGACCTGGTCAGTGGCTATAGCCAAATGCTCTTGCGTCATGGCGACTAGAATGACTGGGTTGTCAAGCCATCTGGTTTTCCCAGCACCCACGGCCTCGAGCTCATCAGTAACGATGCAACCACATAACTGTAAACCTCTCGACCCGCCTGTTTGAACAGCCATTATTTCTACAAGTGTGGTGTATCAAGTGATATCTGTAGACATTCCAATTAATCAATCATCAGAAACAAAATACAAAAACAACGAAAATAACAAAAATTTCTAAGGATTCTGTTAAGCATGCAATTTTTTTAAAAGATCACCCTGCACAAACTTTCTATTTGAAGCACGCTCTTCACCACAACGTAATGAAATCATCCTTCAGACTACATTATCTGACGCAATATTGATCCAATTATGATTAACTCCATCACCCAAAAAACCCATGTGTTTCTTGGGAAACAATTCTCTCAATCTTTTTTCTCCTGTAAGAAGTAACGCGCAATTACGAGGAACAGAGACTAGAATATAACTAAATTGACAACTCAACCTCGCTATGTGATTTTGAATCAACTATAACTACACTTCACCAAAGCCATTAGCTCCACATCGTTCAATAATCTCCTTCGAAAGAACGGTTTCAAAGCAAGCTCGAACATGCCTACAGATCTATCATCTTCGCATACTAGACAGGCTGATCGAAGAAAGGAATCAATACCTGTAAACTACGAAAATCCTCGCGCTGCCTACGGGGTTCCCAAATTAGGTCATCGACACAACCCGTGATATGATTTCCGAACGGAAAACAGGAAACATCATCGTAAAGTCATACGTGCATGAGTTGAACCAGCCAGCGAGCTCACGCCATGCTACCCACAATAGAACCCGCTCCGCAACGCTAACCACCTGACCAACCTCCCACCAATTTTTAGAAGCGAAACTGATCCAAGAAGACTTCGAATTCTGCGAGACGTACTCTATGAACATGCACCACGATAGATCGAAGAAAGCAATGACCCAAGTATCAAAGTTTGGCATCTACAGCGTAACAATGCGGGGCAGGACAGGTGGTGGCAGAGAGAAGGTAGGGTTCGAAGAAAGACAGGTGCCCCAGCTCTCACTCGGTTCTCAATTGGGTTTCATCCTTTTTTTTAGCTGGTCATAACAATTCCGAGGGAAGCAATCTGGAAGCTCGGCCGATCGGTGCCCTTCACTTGCTCTGAAGACACCTGTCAGACACATGGAAACCCGATTGCGTAAACCACGAGTCCTGAAATCTGAAGATGAAGATTTCAGCACTCGTGGGGGCACCGACACTGGCTTCGAGGCTACTGTTTTTTACTTCCTTAATTTGGTTTACTTGGAAGTTGGCACTGCGCATGGAGGAAGCATATTCTGAAGTGCTAACCAAGGGTTGTACAGCAGTTGAGCTGATTTGATTGTTGAAGAGGAGCGTGTGCATTTCCAAAGGATCAGATTCCCAATCGGTTTTTCAGATAGGTGTCCAAGCTTTCTGGGTTTTGGATTTGTGAAGCTGTCGAACCTCGGGGTGAAGGATTGGTGAGTGTTTGGATCTGTGATCGTGCTTGTCATTTTAGGTTTACCTTCTTGTTAGAACTGGAAAATAAAAATTATCGGTGCCCAGTTTTAGGAGTAGAGAGGTCAGAATTAACTTCAGGTTTTTGCCCTTGCTAGTCCTCTCAAACACTACGACACTTATCCGATTTGGTAATTAAATTGTTGTTGTTTATGATCTTAGGTCCCTTTTATGAGAATTGAATTCTTTGTGGTATCTTTCAATCCAGCTGCGTATTTCGATTTGGGTGCTACTCGCTGTGCCACCTGTTTTATTAATAATCTGTGAGAATGGCCTCCTTTCTGAGAGGTTTTATTCTAGTGCAATTGTAAAGGTTTACAGGAGATCATGTGCGAGTGTCTCGTATACTGTTTTCTAATTAGTTAATGTTATGATATGAGCTTCAGAGAACTTTGTAATGTGGATCTTATATAGAAAGAAAAAATGAATCTGGAAATTTTCAACTCAATCTTCAACTGTTTAGTTTCTGCACAGGTGCTTTCGTGGGAGTAATCACAATTGGAAATTTGAAGTGGACATGGGGAACGGAACAAGTAAAGAGGAGCAGCTGTATCAAGCAGTCCAAACTGGAAATGTTAGGGTTGTGAAGGCTCTACAACATGATGGAACATCTTTAGAGGTGAGAGTTGTTCTTAAGTTTCGTAAAAACTATTCTGGAATAAGCGCTGCTTGATTGATCTTATGCAGTACGAACTGCGGATAATGGTAGTTTTTGCGTTCTATTCCTGAAAGTGAATTATTGTTTCCCAGTTCGTGGACAAAGAGGGTCGTACTCCTCTGCATGTAGCATGCGCAAGTGGAAACATGTTCGATATGGTGTTAACCCTCCTCAATTTAGGAGCCAATGTAAAAGCTTATCAACCTGGTACGTTGTCCAGAATATTTGAATTGCTAATAGTACCGATGCTTTGTCAAATTGAGATACAGTAGGTGTGGTGTTTCTTGGACATAAGAAAGCGATTCAGTTCTAAAACAACTTGTTCCTGATTCAGGGTCCCATGGAGGCACGCCACTACATTTGGCTGCAAAGAATGGTTCAGATAGAATTGTGTACTTGTTACTATCACGTGGAGGTATGCTATCTCTATTCACTTGTATGGTAATGCCTGTTCTGATGATATTGAAATTCAGCATAAATTAAAGCAAGCCTAAATCAATTGCTCCTTGTGCTCCAGCGGATCCGCTTGCTGTAAATGATGATGCTTTGACGCCGTTGGATTTGGCACGAAATCGGGGTCATCTATCTGTTGTACGGATCATTGAGGTATTTTCATATCTTTTTGTCTGCGACTTATACTCCAATTTTATCGGTGCTAATAACACCAATCACGCTTTGCAAGACTTAAAACAGTGATGTTCTAGTTGTTGTATAGCGTTCATGTCTTCACCACTTTTGTATGGAATCTGATGTACTGATATTTTGGATTGTCTTATGAATGAAACCACCATTAGTCTCTTGGGAATGGCCCCGGCGAAGCATGTGCGCTTCACTGGTTAAGGGGGTTATTAGAGTGAATGAGAGAGTTCGTGGTGAGCTTCAGAGTTGATAGTGTAACGCTGTCTCTCAATGATATTTTTTTTTCCTCAATTTAAGTTTTATAGCATCCATGTGCTGCCTTTTGCTCAGAATCGTGTAGCTTTATTTTCTGGGATGCTTCGGGAGCTGTCGGGACCTAGCTTTTTAGAACAACTCGCACCTCAATGGATCACAAAGGGGATGTAAGCAAATCTGTCCACTATGCATTTGACTTAATCGTAGGATTGTTCTGGTTCAATTAAATGAGAGCTCGAGTCGTTTCCGACGTATTTTATTATGCCATATTTCTGTTACTTAATTGCAGGGTCGTTCAGCTGAATTTATCCGTGTTTTAATCACGCTTGATTTGCTTTTTGCGTGTTATTACATTTCAGTAGATTTTGAAGCGTCACTTTGAGATATTGTGTGTGTACTGACGTATCGATTCCTACTGTTGTGTTGTAGTTGGGCTGTAGTGGTGCCAACAGAGTCTAATCCAAAGAGACCTCCCAAATTTGAGCTCGTTATTTATAAATCTCCAACGGTGAGGGCGGTTAGCTCTTGAAAATATATATATATATATATATATATATATATATATATTCAATTGCAGGGATTGAGATTGTTGGTTTATTACAGAATTTGAGGGTGACTAATTGCTAATTTTCTGTTTCCTAGGATCCTTTACCACGTACTCTTATTCCACTCGTTAGGGCTGAGGTGGAGGAACCCAAGTTCAGCTTACCTGACCCAGTTCTAATATTAACAGACAAGGGCACAAGTAAGTTCTTTAAAGCTTTCATTCTGTTGATTTGGAACAATCTTGTGTTTTCTTTATTTTCTTTTCTGTTTATGCCGTGACCAGAAAAGTGATGGAGTGAATCTGTTGAGGAATTGTTTTTACTAGAGCTGGGTAAGGGGCTCCTAGTTCTGCATTGCTGCATTCTGAAGGTTCTGTTAAACTTGGGGATGGTATAGGAACGAAGTATAAGTTCATGGCTGAGGTTCCAGGTGATAAGGCAAACTTGGAACGTTTTTATAAGGCTTGTATAGGACCGGCTCTGCCACACCAGTTACCACTTGCCAACAATCAACAAACTTCAACACCAAGTTTTCTTAAGCAACCTTCAGAGAGTGACATAGCTCTGCAGATGGCTATGGATGCATCTTTGCGCACGGCTGCTGATGAAGGAGTTATTCTGGGTGGTTGGAGGGACAATGACAAAGAATTGGGTTCAGGCTTCAATGGGTGGGACGTTGCCTCTGAAGCCGGACCTAGCAGTAGCGTGCCACTTGCAGAAGAAGTTGCTGAGCCCGAACATGAGAAAGCACTCATTCCAGCATCCAAACCCATTGAAACGCACAACACTACGTCAATCCCTTCGACTCCGACATCATCAACACCATCAGCTCCACCATCAGCCCCGCCTCTACCCCCAGTACTTCTAAGCGAAGATGGTGATCCAATTCACTACCCATCGGTTGATACATCACCAGTTGAGACTGATTACGCAGCTGACGCACAGCCTGTACAATCTTCAGCTCCCGCATCCACGGTGACTGGAGAGAAAAGTGGTCAGTGTGTTGTTTGTTGGGATGCTCCAGCTCAGGTTGTGTGCATCCCCTGCGGTCATTTGGCGGGTTGCATGGATTGCCTGTCTGAGATCAAAGAGAAAGGTTGGGGTTGTCCCGTGTGCCGGACTGCTATTCAGCAGCTTATCAAGGTGTACGCTGTATAAAATTAGCTCTTTCTTAAGTCTGTAGATAGATGCAATATTTGCGCACAATTCCTGCATTGCTATTCAACTTTGCAGTGCAGGTTGGGTAGCATAGGCTATTTTGTATAGTAGTTTTTTTCTTTTTCTTTTTTTGACACGACTGGGATACACTAGTTGCAAAAATCGAGAGTGTAAACAAAACAAGATAGTCTTGGCTCTAATATCTTTGTTTTTTTAGGCAATGCTACGAGTGTAATCCAAATCTTACTTGCTTAATTCTTATTTGTGGTGTGTGTAATAAGTGTAATAAGAGAAATTTTGGTCTTCTAATAGTTTTGCATTTCCTTACTTTTTTTTGCTAATCAATTCATATTTTATCTTTTTTTAATAGAGGTTATGTTTGAATAGGTAGCTTAAGAATGCTTTGGTATGTAATTTTGCACATCATATTTTCATATTTTTGAGATTGAACCAAATAATGTATTTTATTTTGTAATTACACCATATCTTGTTCTTAAAAGTTAAGATATTTCTTTGGGTTTAAATAATATGTATGCAAATTCTTCAAAGGAGTTTCCAAATAATTTGAAAATTTTAGGTTTAGAAAGATATCTAAAAGTTGAGATTGCTTGTTTCTAAATAGATGACTCCAAAGGTCTATTTGCATAGGTAGGAGGATATTTTATGTAAAAGAAATTTTGCCCAATTTTATATCTCGTGTACTTGGCACCAATCCAAAAATTTGTGAAGAATTATCTTGTTTGTTTTAGGAATGCTAATTATGCAATAGCCAAGTATTCATGTCCTTGATTAAATTCTTTATGCATTGATTGTCACTCTTTTATGCCATTTAAACCATATTGACATAGCTCTTTTTTTGGTTCTAAGTATGAACTATCTTTTAAACAAATTAAATTAGTAAAAACTAAAGATGAATCTTAATGTACAAGTTAACACTTGTTCATAAGACTATTTGTATTTTTGAGGTTGTGAATGGAATTTGATAAAGAATAGAATGTATTTTTTATTTATTTCTATTATACATTTTTTAAAATTATCATATTAAATAATATTAAAATAAACTCCTCATAATTTTCCTAATATAACAACATGAACAAGGTCCTTTGGTATATATCAAATGCAGTCTATTGAATATTAATTTTTACTACTTCTATTCTAAAGACAATGAAAATAATACAAGTAATTGTCAAATTTATTATATATTGGAGTATTGATGGAAATAAAATAAATTTTTATAATTAAATTTGGATAAAGTTTCATAAATTATAATGGATCAAACAAGTAACTATCAATTAAAGACTTGTAATTGATTGAACAATGACATATTTGATTTAATAATTTGTAAGCTAATTTGTTAATAACTAATACTATCTACTATAAAAGCATAGTTTATTTTATTCATAAATATATATATATATATATATATATATATATATATATATTAAAAATGCAGTATTATAATTGATAAAAAAAACATTCAAGTATCTCTAAACCAAAATAAATTGAGTTGGTTACCTTATTTTTAAAATATTAGAACCAGCTAGTTGTTAAAATCAGTAAAGTAATCATGAATATATTGAAATACAATTGGAACATATTTCTTAGTAAGCATAATTATCTAAATTGACATTGTTACTTTAATTTGACCAAGAATTTATGTAACAGGTAATGAGGTCTAATATAATAACTGCTCTTAAGTGAACTCATTATTTCCTCTCAATTACCAAAATACATTCTTTTTTAAAAAAAAAAATAGAAAATATGAAATTTTTAGTAAATTATCAAAAAACAATTATAAAAAAAAATTAGAAGTACAAGGCTACAACAACATAAATCATTGAATGTGAAATTAAAAAATAGAAGATTGCATTAAACCTAATAATACACAAAATTAATAAATTACAATAAAATAATTTTCTATTTTTAATTCTTGATTATTTATAGAAATTAATTTAAAAATAAAATTTTAAAATAGTAAAAATAAATAAATAAAGTATAATTTTAAAAATTATGTATAACTACAAAAAAAATGCAGAGTATTTGTGTCATAAACAAGATTGTCAAAAAATATTTTTTATTTATTTAGAAAAATAATATTAATAATAATAAAATATATTAGAATATGTTGATATATCTTTTAATATTGTCTATGGTTTTAAGTGATCATTTTTTAAATAAGACAAAGATTATGAAAATTCTCCATAACTGAAATTTAAATAGTTATGATGTTTTTACTAAGGTGTTCGTTCAAAAAATATCAAATGTATTAAAATAAATAATGAAGCAATGACTATTATCTATCTATTTACTTGAATAGATTAAAATAAATATTTTAAGTATATATATATATATATATATACAAGAAATATTTGATTTGAAATGCTAACTAGATAAGTATATGGTATTTCTAGATTATTATTAAATAGTTAAAACACATGGTTAATAATAATTGCATTATATATATAATCTAAATTTAAAATATGAATTATTTTATTTTATTTTTTTCTTATTTTATGTAAATAAAAATCATCTCAAAAATCAATTAAAAGTGTACTTTGCATACTCCACACTAGTGTTAAGACCTTAATAATTTAAACAAGGAGTATAGATTAACCATTACTTCTTGTAGCAAATGAAGTTGTTATAATATATCAATTAATGCACAAGTCTTGTCTTTTTTAAAAAACATGAAATCTCAAAGCTTATAATAAAATTAATAAGTCACCTAACTGTGTTTTTTTGGTAATATCAAGAATTTTTAGATTATTTGTGGCAGTGACAAAAATAAATGTTTGCATCCTGAGTACAAATTGCTTTATATTAAGTGGTTTTGCCATGGATGTTCAAATGATACATGTATTTTAGTTGCAATAAATTTAAAAACATTATCATATATATTCAATCAAAAAATAAAGATAAAAATTCAGCAACTAAAATGAATTTTTTAGATATAATTTTATCTTAGATTTGAGCCAGTTTGGCATTTATTTTATCTTATTCAACAATTATTTTGGCAACTAGGTCATTTGTTGATGTATAGATACACTTTGTGCATATATTGTATGATTTTTTTGTTTGCATCAATTACAATGCTTCATATTTATTTATATACTTCAACTACCAGCATTTGAAATGCATATAATAAAATTTGTTTGTTTGTTTGTTTGTTTTTATTTTATTTTTTTTTTCTTCTTCTTAAGAATAAAAATTGACTAATTCAAATATAAGCAATTCCACTATTTAATTGAAAAAATGATTAAATATTCATCTATTACAAAAAATAGTCTTTGGATAAATTATCCACCTTATTTTGGAAAAATCAATAATAATTATAGAAAAATGTTAAATAGACCTAGATTTTTACTAGACAATCCATCTGTCTAATCCATCATTGCACTTTCCCATCCTACATCTTCATTCCTTTCATTTTCACACACTTGTTAGGGTTAATATTCATCTATTACAAAAAATAATACTTCAAAACAAACTAGTTTTCACACACTTATTAGGATTAATTAGAATAGAGAGAATTGGTTTTGTTTTTTTTACTACATATCAATTCTTTAACAAAAAAGTTAACTATGTTCCATTGCCACAAAACTCCTTGTAATTTTAAAACTAACCTTCAATCACATAACATGTACATCTGAACAATCATAGTAAAAACTATAACTTACTCAACATTACAAAATTATTTTGAAAATTAATAAGCAAATAGCTAGCAAGAGAAGCACATGGCATTGCCATGTACAATCCAATTTTAATAAACCGTGAAAAGATGATAAAAAAACCAAAAATCTGAAGAAAAAATACATATATATATATATATATATACATACACACACACACACAAGTATGTTACAATCAACTGCTTTTTAGTTTTTAAAAACCTTAACCTCTTCGCAATTGCTATGCAAAAATAGGTAATAAGACAAAAAAGAACATGCTCCAACATGTGATTAATTAGCTCAACTCTCGAGACTTTACTAATGACTTCACACAACACCAAAAACTAAAAACACTACAACCAAAAACCTAGGCAATATAAAAAAATAAAGAGAACTTCTATGAATTCAATTTATCCTTTGGTGATTGATTATTTCACTTGGAACATTGCCAATCATGCCAACCATGATGTGGATATCACCTTCAACAAGAAAGAATGTGGGGGCCATTTCCAAAGCTTAAATTTGTATCTCTCATGGAAATTCAACTCTCGTATCAAGTGCATGGAGGAGGATACTAGTGGCCTACTTACAAGCTTTTACATCTCCTCGGAAAAAAGCATGATCACACAAGACAAGATAGACTTTGAATTTATGTGAAACAACAAGCACATTGTGTAGATAAATTTCTTGTGAATGGGACAAGTAACAATAGGAGATGGGAGAGTCAGGATGAGGCATGGGCACTAAAAATAGAGACTGGGAGTGAAGGGAACATGGACATGGAGGTGCACAAATGATCTAGATAGATAGTCTGATTTAGTAAAAACTTGGGTCTATTTAATATTCCCCTAATTAAATCATTGAAACTTTGAAATTACAACATAAATCATAACCATTGAGCATTGTATAATTTTGGGAGAAAAAAGTAAAAGTAAAAGGTCACAATATGTTTGAGATGAAATGGTTTTACATTTACTTTTTGATTTTTTTATTTTTTTTTGTAATACTCTGTCGAAGACACACAACTACATTTTAACCCATGGTCACAAAGACTCCAGTCGACTGCGACGAAGTGGTGCTGGTGAAGGATCACAATACCCAAGTCATTTCCATTTCTTCCGTTCACAGATATTTTAAAATAGGGTGGGTGAAGGGGTGAAGGGGGTGGGGATTTGATTGATTGAGATTCTTCTTTTGGTCAACCAACGGTGTATCTGCTGTTGCATCTGGACACTACTATTCAGGGGAAGCCCGATTCAGGGAATTGCCCCTCACTCCCCTGCTGCGTGTGCAAAACGACAACAGGGGAAGAAGAATGATGAAGCTGACCTAATTCGGCGCTTGGGAAGAAGAAGACGAAGAAGAAGCTCAGATTCCCGTCGGAGGATGGAGAAGAGTGAGCCCAGCACCCACCACCACCAGGGCATAGTGCAGCAACAGGCAGCATAGGCAGAGAATAGAATAGAATAGAAGGTGGGGGACTTGTAAGCAAGCAAGCAAGCACGGCGGACTGACTGGCTGGGTGGATGCTGTGGATTCATTTCCCTCTCTCCCTCGCACTCTCGCATGGGATTCCTCTGTTGTCTGGGCGAT